GGGCGGCCTTCTCGTCCTGATCTCGGACCAACTACAGAACTTGACTCTTATCTGAGGACTACAACAGAGGCATAAAAATGGCTGTCACACACCTCCTATAAATTCTCTCTAGTCATAGTAGGTGCAATCACCCGTGCAGGAGCTGCGAGAGGGAGAGGGGGGTGAGGTCCTGGAGCCGGGCCCGGGGCTGCTCAGCTGGTGCCCCGCTGCTTTGACTTTTTGGAAGTTCTACATGGTTGAACCTGACCTTGCCCCTTTTGTGGTACAACAAATTTGTGTCTTCTGTTGTCCCAGCCTCTTCCAAAGGGAATGGCTCCGTGTCTTCATCAGGTAGAGTTCCCTGTTCTTTCCCATGGAACGTTCTTCACTGAGTCTTGTAATCTGATTTTGCCTCCGCACTGAAGGCGTTCTTCCTCCCCGTGCTCACTGCACATTTCTGTTAATGCAGGCTAGTGTTAAGGCAGCTTCTTGTAATGGCACCTACAGCTTAAATGTGTATTTTTATGTCATCCTTCAGACAAGAATAACTAGAACTTTATCTTAAGCTGGTAGGATTCAGATCCATTAACAAAGGGGGCTTACTTAAAGTGCACACTAGTTATAAATTCCATCAGGACTGCTGTCTTCTTGCAAGTTTTTTTTTCGTTACAAATTAATTAGCTTTGGCTACATACGGTGGTAACAGATTATCAATTCAGCCTTCTCCATACTCAGTGTCACCAGAGCCTCTTATATGTTCGGGACCTCTTTCCAAGGCAAGTGAACCAACATAATTCGTATCAGCTGATACTAGAAAGTCACCAGAGTACACAAGAACCAAACCAGAGCAAGATCTATAAAAATCTTCAAGGCCTTTTTAGAATTCTTATCAGATGCCCAGAGGGCTTTCAAATTGCTTTTGGATTCTTCAACACAAGTATACTGTAAGTGAAAATGGATCTAGAAAACCTTTCAAGTGTAGTGAAATTAAATAAGAAATCATGTTAGGACACATGACAATTTATTTCTGGTCGATCCACCAAGCGTGAAAGAGTGCTACCAGTTAGAGGGCAAACGGGAGTCTTCAACCCTAAGACCTACCCTCGTCAGGATGCAGTGCAAGAACCGCACAACCCAGAGTCTGCAAGTGAGCGTGGTCAGCACCTCTCAAAGACTTTGTACAGATCGGGCAGGTTAGCAAGCTGTAGGATATTTCCATCTTCTGTGAAATGTTTAGGAGGCAGAAGGTGGGAGCGGAAGGCTTTATAAACAATGTGTTCCACAGTCCACTTCCAGGGGTTTGCAGAGGAGCCCGACACTTCGCTCTGGAAAAGACGCGTTCGAGGTCACAAGCCTGCCTGTTCGCCCCACTCACGTCCCAGCATTTGTGGTTTCCTGGCTGACCTGTACTGGGCCTGGAAGTCTTGCTGGTTACAATGGACTGTTTTACCTACTGCTGGTGAAACATCCTCTCTGGTCAGCCTCTCAGGGATCCCACAGCCCTGAACGTGAGAGACACGGGACAAGGGGAAAGGAAGGCAGAGACTTTCTCCCATGGAAACTTTGTTTCCATTCGGGAAAACTGTTGATTGTAGCAGCATCTAACATAAGGTCTGATCCCGACTATGACGTTCAGCCCGCAATAGTAGGAAGTGCATTCACCCAGGCCCTTTCTGTGTACAGCTGATCTGTAAGAAGAGCTAGGGGTCTGACCTTAGTACCTGCCCTGTTTTCCTGGAAGAGCAGTGGTCAGATGTATAATGAGCCAAAGCTAAATGAGCGTGGGGAGACTGGGGCAGAACCTGAAGACCGGGGCTGCACACCTGAGGGCTAACGGTGGGAGACGAGAATTCGCTAGCCCTGGATCATCCACCAGCTCAGCCTCCCAGCGTTTTCACATTTGACAGGTACTGAGATCATTCTAGAGGGACCTTCCAAACCAGCAGAAGGAAGAAAAATTCATGAATAAAAGCTGACCATTATGTTGAAGCTTTATGTGCAGTGAAATCTTACGAATTCAGAGGTGGCAGGTTTCATTTGCTAAAGGTTGTGTGAGGCCCATCCCCATCCCAGGTGCTAACGTGCATCACCACAGTACCTGCTGGCCCGAGAGGGTCGACTCCTCAGATATATACTGCTTCCGAATGGAATAAAACATAGCACATTCTTTGCTGAGGCTTTCAAAACATTCCTTCTCTTCATCCCAGTTCACCTGGTCCAAAGAGAGAATTTAATACCTCAACATAGGTACTTGCTTTAATAAACACATTTCATTTCCAAGTGGAGGTTACAGACTACTTAAAGCTTTTTCCATGTAATGTTTTAGGCATTAAATCTGTAAACCAGAACTGCTGGGTAGGTGGGGTAAAGGGGGGCCTTCAGCTGTTGTACCCTTTTCACCTCCATCATTCCACGTGAAGGTGTGGCCCCGTGCCCTCTCCCGCCAGCCCACACGCAGGTACCTGCATACTTAGGAATGGTATGACCACTTGCCTCCGTGGCGAGTCGAAGAATGAAGATAGGTAGACCCTCCAAAGGGGGCACATAGTTGTCAATCAGCAGGGGTAATCCAGTCAGGTTCCCTTCCTGCTTGTGCAGAAAAGGCCACGACAAGGGACAAGAAGTAAATTGCTAGAGTTTAATCAAGTTCTATTTCCCCAGTGCTCCCTCCAGGTCTTGTCCGCATGTCCACACTCTGGGTGACCAGGTGCTTGACTGGGCTGGGCACCGAGGGCAGGAGAGCAAAAAGCTTAAAAAGAGCTTTTTGTATTGACATGAAGCAGAACAACGTCTTGTTTCAATATGCTCACCAGCTAAAGAACACATAGAGATGGAAAGCCCCAAAGTTTAAGGGATAAGAGGAAGAAACAAGGAAAGCAAGAGGCCTGGCATCCTCTCATTCGCAGGGACTTGTCGGGGTACTTTATCCCAGGAACAGGAATGGGCATGAATGGATGAGAAAGCAAACAGGGAGTGAGGATGGGAACAGATGTCATGTGCTGCATCTCACAGGGGTGGGCGGCCTTCTCGTCCTGATCTCGGACCAACTACAGAACTTGACTCTTATCTGAGGACTACAACAGAGGCATAAAAATGGCTGTCACACACCTCATCGATTTCCAAAGAGAAATAGTCTGCGAGCATCTCAGCCTTCTTCTTCAGAAACTCAACAATGTACTCGGCAAGTCCTTCTTTGGGACCATCTTCCTCCGTCCAGCCACTCTCAGGACTATCCAAGGCGAGCATGGCCAGGTCAAAGAGTGGCGCTGGCTCCTAGAACAGAGGCGGTGTCAACAGTGCATCCAAGTGAAGCCGGAATTCCTTCCCACAAAACCACCACAGGCACACCTTGGCGGTACGACTGCCACAGTAAAGGAGTACCACAATAGAGTGAGTCAGATGAATTTTTTGGTTTCCCAGTGCACATAAAAGTTATCTTTACACACATATATCCTATCTATGAAGTGTGAAATAGAATTATGTCTAAAAAAACAATGTACATACCTTAACTAAAAAAAACCTATTCAGCGGTAATCATCAAGACAGTATGGTATACTGGCGCAAAAACAGACACATAGATCAATGGAACAGAATAGAGAGCCCAGAAATGGACCCTCAACTCTATGGTGAACTCATCTTCGACAAAGCAGGAAAGAATGTCCAATGGAAAAAAGTACCTTCAACAAATGGTGTTGGGAAAATTGGATAGCCACATGCAGAAGAATGAAACTGGACCATTTCCTTACACCACACACAAAAATAGACTCCAAATGGTTGAAAGATCTAAATGTGAGACAGGAGTCCATCAAAATCCTAAAGAACACAGGCAGCAACCTCTTCGACCTCAGCCACAGCAACTTCTTCCTAGAAATATCGCCAAAGGCAAGGGAAGCAAGGGCAAAAATGAACTATTGGGACTTCATCAAGATAAAAAGCTTTTGCACAGCAAAAGAAACAGTCAACAAAACCAAAAGACAACCGACAGAATGGGAGAAGATATTTGCAAATGACATATCAGATAAAGGGCTAGTATCCAAAATCTATAAAGAACTTACAAACTCAACACCCAAAGAACAAATAATCCAGTCAAGAAATGGGCAGAAGAAATGAACAGACACTTCTCCAAAAAAGACATCCAAATGGCCAACAGACACATGAAAAACTGCTCAACATCGCTCGGCATTAGGGAAATACATATCAAAACATCAATGAGATGCCACCTCACACCAGTCAGAATGGCTAAAATTAACAAGTCAGGAAACGACAGATGTTGGCGGGGATGCGGAGAAAGGGGAACCCTCCTGCACTGTTGGTGGGAATGCAAGCTGGTGCAACTACTCTGGAAAACAGTATGGAGGTTCCTCAAAAAGTTGAAAATAGAGCTACCATACGACCCAGCAATTGCACTACTGGGTATTTACCCCAAAGATACAAATGTAATGATCTGAAGGGGCACTTGCACCCCAATGTTGATAGCAGCAACGTCCACAACAGCCAAACTATGGAAAGAGCCCAGATGTCCATTGATAGATGAATGGATAAAGAAGATGTGGTATATACATATACAATGGAATATTACTCAGCCATCAAAAACCCGAAATCTTGCCATTTGCAACGACGTGGATGGAACTAGATATGCTAAGCAAAATAAGTCAATCAGAGAAAGACAATTATCATATGATCTCACTAATATGCGGAATTTAAGAAGCAAGGCAGAGGATGATAGGGGAAGAGAGGAAAAAATGAAACAAGACGAAACCAGAGAGGGAGACAAACCATAAGAGACTCTTAATCATAGGAAGCAAACAGGGTTGCTGGAGGGAGGGGGGTGGTGGGATGGGGTAACTGGGTGATGGACATTAAGGAGGGTATGTGTTGTAATAAGCACTGGGTATTAGTAAGACTGATGAATCACAGACCTGTACCCCTGAAACAAATATACATTATATGTTAATTAACTGAATTTAAATTTAAAAAAAATGAAAAAAGAAAATGTGTGCTTCTGGAAAAAAAAACTATTGCTAAAAAATGCTAACCATCTGAGCTCACAGTGAATTATGATCACTGATCACAGTTTGTATTATACACAAATACAGTAATAAAAAAGTTTGAAATATTGCCAGAACTACCAAAATGTGACACAGAGACATGAAGTGAGCAAATGCTGTTGGAAAGCTGGTGCCAACAGACTTGCTCACTGTAGGGTTGCCGCAGACCTTGAATTTGTAGAAATGGAAGGTCTGCGATGCGCAGTGAAGCACAGAGTAAAACGAGGTGTGCCTGTGTGAAAGCCACAAAGCCATGATCCTGACAGCAGCTGAGAAACCCCAAAGCTAACACTCACTCCCCATCTCCCACAAAGAAAACACCTGAAAATCCACAAGAAAACGTCTTCCCCCTCCTCCCCGGTGGCCATTTCAGCAGACAGGATGTGCCAGCCTGCTGAGCAGGTAGGAGGGGGAGGCCGGGTGGAGGCACTCCCCTCCCGTGTAGCTGCAAGGGCTCCCCTGCCTCACTGATAAGGAACCCAGGGGAGGGGAGAAGTTCAGTGACCTCTCAGCTAAGTCATCTGATTAGGTAGAAGACTGAAATACATGGTTAAAAATAAGATGCCTAAATTTTCTTCCATTTCTCCCCTTCTGATGTTACTATGGTCATTCATTTTACATGTTATAAACCCACAGAACACTGTTCCTATTTTTTTTATAATATTAGAGGAGTCAATGAAAGGACCCGACAATCTAAATGTTAATGTACTTGGTACCAGAACTTTAAAATCTATGAAGGATCAAAATAATGGAACTGGCAAAGAGAAAAAGACAAATCTGCAATTACAGTCAGAGGTTTCAATATCACCCTTTTTAAAAAATAAACTGGAACAAGTAGAAAGTCAGGATACAGAAGATCTGAGCATCACTGTCACCTTGCTATTCCTGCCACTCGGAACACTGCACTCAAGCAGACCAGAATGCACATTCGTTTCAAGTGCGCATGCGTCATTTAGCAACACAGACCATACTCTTAGTGATTTCTAATTCACGAACAGGTATCAGGAAAATCTCCAAGTAACTGGAAACAACACACTTCTCAATAACCTGTGGGTCAAAGAAGAAATCAAAAAGGAAATAAACTATTTTGAAATGGATGAAAATGAAAACAACTTATCAAAATTTGTGGGAAGCTGCTAGAGCAGCACTCAGGGGAAATTTATTAGCATTTAACCCCCAAATTAGAAAAGGATGATGTCCAATCAGTGACCTCAGCTTCTACCTTAAGAAATTTGAAACAGAAGAGCAAATTAAACCCAAAATAAGTAGAAAGGAAGTAATAAAGATCAGAGTAAATATCAATGGAATAGAAAACAGAAAAACAAGAGAGAAAAATCAGTGAAACCAAAAGTCAGTTCTTTGAGATCAATAAAAATTGGTAAACTTCTAACCAGACTGATTAGGTTAAAAAGAGAGGATACACATCGCCAATATTAGGAATGAGAGAGGATCTACTTATTAAAAGAATTATGAAAAATACTATGAACAACTTCATGCCAATAAATTCGAAAACTTCAATGGACAAATTCCTTGAAAGAAACCAAAACCAAAGCTCTGTCAAGAAAAAAAAGATAACCTGAAGAGTTATCTAGGAAAGAAGCTGAATTTGTAGCTAAAAACCTTCCTATGAGGAAATCTCCAGGCCCCGATGGCTTCACTCACTGGTGAATTCTACCAGACATTTAAGGAATAAACCCCAATTCTATACAAACTCAGATGATGGAAAAGGAGGGAATAGCTTCCAACTCATTCTATGAAGCCAGCATTAATGCTGATACCAAAACCAAAGACTACAAGAAAAATAAAAACCAGTATCATTCACGAACATATATGTAGCAATTGTAAACAAAATTCTGGCAAATCAATTTCAATAATATATAAAAAGAGTAATACATCACGTACAAGCATGGTTCATCCCAGGAATGCAAGACTGGTTTTTGTTTTTTTTTTTTTTTTTTAAAGATTTTATTTATTTATCTGACAGAGACACAGCGAGAGAGGGAACACAAGCAGGGGGAGTGGGAGAGGGAGAAGCAGGCTCCCCGCAGAGCAGGGAGCCCGATGCGGGACTCGATCCCAGGACCCTGGGATCATGACCCGAGCTGAAGGCAGTCGCTTAACCAACTGAGCCACCCAGGCGCCCAAGACTGGTTTTTAACATGAAAATCAGTGTAATTCATTATATTAAGAAATTAAAAAAGAATACCACGCAATTACCTTAACAGATGCAGAAAAGGAATTTGAAAAAACTCAATATCCATTCCTGAATAAAAACAACTGTAAGCAAACAAGGAACAGAAGGGAACTTCCTCAACCTCATAAAGGACATCTCATCTCCACCTACGGCAAAAAGCATACTTACTTTGAAAAGACTGAATGTGTTTCCCTATAAGATCAGCAACAAGAGAAGGATTTCCATTCTCACCACTTCTATTCAACATTGTACTAAGGGTCGAGCCAGTGCAATCAGGCAAGAAAAAGAAAGAAAAGCCATCCAGATTGGACAGGAAAAATAAAACTGCCTTTATTCACAGAGGCCATGACCATGCATGTAGAAACTGATGGAAATCTGTAAGAAAACTAGTAGCACTACTGAGTTTGGCAAGGTTGCAAGGTACAAGATCAGTGTACATAATAAACACTTGTGTTTCTATATACTACCAACAAACAACTGGACAATTTTTAAAATGCCATTAGCGTCAAAAAATGTGGGATATTACGGGATATATCTAACAAAAGATTTCCTCCCTAAATTGCTCTGTAGATTCAAGGCAATCCCAATAAAAATCCCTGTAGGCTTTTCTGTAGAGTTATGTCAGCTGTACAAAGATGATATGAAACTACATAGATAAGTAGTCTGATTTTAATTCTAAATTAAAATTAAGCAATGAAAAGGTCTTGGAAGAAATGACCTAATACTGTCAGCTGGGGTTGGCTGTGTTTGGGTCATAGGCTTTAGAGAATATTTATTTCTATTTTTATCTCTTTACAAGTTTTCTTAGATATGTATTAACCAATATCATACTAAACCTTTGTTTAAGCTGGCTACCAAATGACTGTTCTGCTTTGTATTAAACTGTGTTATAACTAAAGATACTTCCATACACAAATCCTACAATACAGATGCTGTCCTAGGCGTATTTAGAAAAACCTAATATACTGCAAATCAGATATTAGGATAGAGCTATTATTTTTCAGAAATGACCAACTGTTGGAAGTTTCAGAAGTGAGAAGCAGGAAGTAAACTTACCGACAGCCTCAGAATACCGAAATTGGCAAAATCATAAATGAGTATCTGGTAGAACAGTTCTTCACTGAAAATAAAAATGAAGTGACTTTAAGGAAATGCTGAATCCATGCTTGAGAGCCAAGCAGTCAGGACAAACGGGAGAAAGAACCCCTGCAACATGGATGGGACTCGCTGTGGAGCCTTCCTGACAGTCTATGAGACTCCTTCTCCTCTAAGGAGCTGGGACCCGCTGCACGCTCCAGCCAGGACTCTGGCTGGCAGGCCTCTGCACACGGCTTAGAGCACTAAGACTAAGTCTCTAAGTCACCCAGGCTCTGTCCCCACCCCCTGGTGCTGTAAAAGGCTGCTGAATGCCCTGTAGGTGAAATGTAAGAAATTTTTGTTTACTTACTTTTTCCCCACTTACAAAGAATCCTCCTATAAGTCACTTTTTTTTTTACAACTCACCATTAAAAATAGTATGGAGTGTTATAGGGAGGGCAGGAAACTTACTAAATAATCACAAGTAGACACAAGGCAGAATTAGACCACCCGGGTGTGTTTGGTGTAGCATGATGCACTGCCTGGCAACACTCCAAAAGCAGCTGTGAGGCATACAATACAAGGACCTCCTTAGACAACACGGTGCTGAAATAAATGGCACTTTATAGTTCTTAAGCAATCTGAACCATAGAGGTCTATTTAAAGACTTCCCATTATCAGTCAAAGTAGACAAGGCATCTGCTACACCTGCATTACAGGGGGAAACTGAGGCACCCAGGGAGTACCTGACCTGTCCCAGGTCAGAGTTAATAAGGTGGAAAGGAAGGAGTTGAATCCAGATTCTGCACTCTGAACCTGGTTCTCAATCTGTTTCTTCTACCTTCTCACTGGGAAACCATACACATTTATTAATAGCTGAAATTCTTGGACGGGCCTGGCTTTCTGTTTGTAAAATGAAAGAACCTGAACACAATGTGATTTGGAGCCTTGGAAATGTACTTACATGCGCTGGAAAAGAAAGAACAAGGGCAGCAGAATTCCCAACACATTCTTAAGAGACAGCCCACTGCACAAGCCAAAGGATTCTCAAAGCAAAGACAAGGGATCTTGAACAGAGCTGCACCAAAAGGGCCCAGAAGGGGTGAGTTCTGAATACCCACAGAGGTATGTGTGCCAGCAGTCAGCTCTGGGCTGGGCAGTTTCTGGGTGAGGGAGGAAAGCGATTCTTATCTTGTGCACCACCCCCAAGCAACGTATGGCGGCTGCCTTGCTCCGCGGGCTCGAGAAGCACTGCGAGGCGACAGCAGGGCTTGGTGGGAAAGGGCCCTGCGGTGGCCAGGTGATATCTAGTAGATGCAGGGTGGCAGCACCCTCCCATCTGTGCCACCTAATTGAGAACAAATTTGATACAGGTTCTAGACTCACTAGGAGCTCATCCACGAAAGCCTCTGGGAACAATCAATAGAAAGTTTGCTGGCTACGTACGGGGCAAATGGCACGGCTTGTCAACCCCGCTGGCTCATGTGATGGCGAGAGCAAGCCTTGGTGACATTCCCTAAGGAGGAACGGGGGCATCAGGTCTTTTTTCTCTTGCATCCCACAGTACCCCGCTGCACACAGCAGATGCTAGAATTCTCTACCTTGACACTTGGTTCAACCACAGTGGTCAACATTTACTGAGGACCGAGAACCTGCCAAACATTAGGCTTCTCATGTCATTTCTTATCCTCACAAACCATGTAAGTTAAGTAGTAATTTCCAAATTTGCCGATGAGAAGTCTGAGATGCAGTTTAGGAAAGTACCTTGTCCACCGTGACATAAACGGTAAATTGTTGGGTCTGGACTGGAAACCATCTCTGTCTGTCTCCAAAGTCGGGAACCTTCCCCAACAGCTCATGCCGCTGTCCCTGGCTTTTTGCGCTTGCACCTCCAGGACCATTCCTGTAGCGGCCCTGCTTGTGTCTTGCACTCACTCGTTTACCTCAGTTTGGTGGTGTTGAGAAGGTATAACTTGGTCTGATGCTGCGCCAAGGCCCACTGTGGATTCACGCAGCCCACAAAGGAGTGGTTATGCAGCATCTCCCGGAGTGCTGGAAAAGAAAGCGCAGGTCAGGAACGGCATCCCAACACCGCCTGGCATCCCAAAGCCAAGCACGAGAGCTAGAGACCAGAGATGAGCAATGATGCCCGCAATGTACCTCTTGCAGCAAACACACACAAATGAGGAATAAATTATAACTAATCTTTCAAAATGCAACAAAAACATTGCCCAAAGGTAAAGGAGAACTTGGCCCGCAGATCACACCCCGAGGCAACGCAGGAAGCCAGAGAAGTACTGCGAGCTCGGAAGCCAGCTTCACCCAAAGGCACCAGAGGAACCTCAGGAATCACGAGCGCTAGTTTTCGCAGGCTCTCAGGTACGGGGAAGGAAAAACAAAAAGGTTGGAATGGTTTGAAACAGGGACTCTAATAGGAGGCCACTTCCCCAGCATGTGAAGCTGAGACGCCAGGGGCCATACCCTCAGGCAAAAGAGAAGAAATCCTGCCGTGTCCCGGGCCCCAGGGCAGGGAGCCCAACTGCCCACCCACCTCAAGCCTGGGTGTTGGGGGTAAGAAAAAAATCACAGCCCGGAGAATCTGGAACCACCAGCTGGTCCTCACATGCTTTTGCAGCAGGACTCACGCTAAGCACTGCCTTGTATGGAGATTTTAGTTTAACGTTGATTCCAGGGCTGACTGTGCCTCCAGGTCCCTGATAGAATCAAATGCAAATTCTCTGTAGAGAAATTCAATTTCAGTCCAGGCTTCGAATTATCCCCCACAGATGAAACACCAGTAGCTAGCAGTCAAAAAATTACAAAACACACAAAGAATGCACCAAGAATTAGAATCCAGAAGAAACCACACGACCTCTGCAAAGGTTCAGAGACTGGAAATACCAGCAGAGAAGAGAAAATAAGTATGTTCAGCATGCTTCAGAGGGATTGTAATGAATAAGCAGCAAGAGACTATCAGAAATGATCAAGATCTCCAAAAAATCCAAATTTCTAAAAATGAAAAATATAATAATTGAAATTAAAACTCAAGACCGACTTCACAACAGATGAGACAAAGTTGCCAAGATAGTAACTGGTAGGTAGATCTGAAGAAATTACCCAGAATGCAGCACAGAGAGACAAAGAGAGGAAAACTATGGAAGTAGCTTATGTAACGTGGAGAACAACAAATATATATAACTCAAGTTCCAGAAGGGAGAGAGGGCAGGGGGGAGATGATATTTACAGACTTTGAAGCCAAAAATATCTGAGACTATCCCAAAAGTGATGGAAGACACCAAACCTCAGTTCTAGGAAGCCCAACAAAACCCACACTTGGCACACAGAGATACTGGACACTAAAGAAAAGAGATCTTAAAGGCACTCAGAGACAAAAGAGAGATTCCCCACAACGTAATAAAATATAAGACTGATAGCTGGATTTTCAGCAGTAACAGTGGAAGCCAAAAAATGACAGAACAACACCTTTGATGCATTAAGAAAAAGTAACTGTCAATCTGGAATTTTAAACCCAGCAAAAAACACTTTTCAAAATGAGGATGCATTAGACAAAACAAACCTCAGTTGGCCACCCAAGACCCCACTAAATGCTATGCTTAAGGCAGACCATGAACGATCCAAGGGAAAGAACTATGAGCAAACAATATTCGCTAAATCCAAACAAGCGGACAATAACAATGTATTATGGAACAATTTGATATCCACATGAAAACCATGACTCTAACACCATGCACCAATGACGAATTCCAGGAGGACTAGGGATTTGTGTACAAGCATTTCAGGAGACAATATAAGAATATGTCTTTAATTATCCCAGAGTTGGGGGCGCCTGGATGGCTCAGTTGGTTGGGCGGCTGCCTTCGGCTCAGGTCATGATCCTGGAGTCCCGCATCGGGCTCCCTGCTCGGCGGGGAGTCTGCTTCTCCCTCCGACCCTCCCCCCTTTCATGCTCTCTCTCTCTCTCAGTCTCTCTCTCTCAAATAAATAAATAAAATCTTAAAAAAAAAAAAAAAAATTATCCCAGAGTTGGGAAGCATTTCCTAAATAAAATTTTAAAAAGCCAATCTAAAGAACAATTCACAATACCTATGTTAAATCTAAGAATTTCTGTTCATGAAACAAGTATTTGTTTAAAAAAAGAAGAAGAAGAAAACAGGTAAGTCCTAAACGGGGGGAAGATGTTTTCATGTAACTGATTATTATCTGGAATATATGAAGAACCCCTCGAATCAGTTCAAAAAGACCAAAAACCCAACAGAAAAATGGGCAAAAAACTAGAAAAGGCACTTAATGGAAGGGGAAATATCCTTAAGTTTAGAGTAATTAGGGAGATGCAAGTAAAACCACCATTAGCTACCATTTCATGAACACCAAACTGGCAAAAAGTCTGACAAGGTCAAATGTTGGAGAGGAAGCAGAACAAATGCAGCTTCCATACACTGTTGGTGGGACCAACGATGGGTACATTTATCCGACCCCTGTGAAAAAGAGTTTATCATCTTATGACCCAGCAGTAGCTCTGCTGAGTGTATACCCACAGCCGAGCTTCCCAACTAGTGTGCCAAGCTCTTGAATCTCTCATGGCCAGGAGCGGGATGGGGTACGAGGAGGCAGGGATAAGGCCATATGAGTCCAAATGTCCTTCAACAGAAGAATGAACAACCATGCAGTAATAGTCACCAAGTGGAATCTATTACACAGAAAAAGCAAACCAGAGCTGTATGTAGTAAGATGGATGAATCCTAGGACCAGAATGTGTGTGTATGTGTGTTTCACATATTTCACATTATAAACACACACACACCAAAAAAACCCTTATAATATGATTCCATTTATGTAAAATTTAAAATTTGCAAACTGAACAAATTTTTTAGGGCTACAAATATGGGTGGTAAAACTGTATTAAAAAGAAATAATCATAAAATTTAAGAGAGTGGTTACCTCTAAGGGAGAAGGGAAGGGGACAGTTTAGGGAAAAAGCACCTGAGAGCTTCAAAGGGGATAAAACCCACAATGCTCTATCTCTTAAGCAGGTGTTCACGTGTTTTCTTGTGTAGATCCTATGTATGTATTTTATAAATTTGATTTTTGATTTACCAATACATCTGTGTGCGTGTGTGTCTATGTGTGTGTGTGTGTGTGTGTAAGTAAAAATACCACCACCATAAAGGGGGGTAGGGGAAGAGGGTCTGGGGACCACAGGGAAAGGTCTGTATACCACGTTTTCACTATACTTTTCTTTTTTAGCTTAGGCACCACAAATGAATTCTAATATTGTTACATAAGTTCTGTAACACTCTCTGTCCCCTCAACCCCCAATAGAAAGAGGCTTATTTTCTTCATTTTTAGAATGAAGTGTTCCCCTCTGTTCCCACTGGAAACTCAATGTCTCTACAGGATGTACTGCGTAGGCGGAAAATGATTATTTTAAAAGCTGGAGAACATCGAATAATCTTGAATAATGAGGCACTGGAGGAAAGAGAAAGCAGTGTAATCCACTAAAAAAAGGGTCAGAGATTTTTCCATACGGATTTTTCATGGAACCTTCTGACGCATCCTAGCTACCGAGATGCAGCCTTGCCAGCCTGGGCAGGGAAGGGAGGAGGTGGCTGCTGGCTTGGCCTGGGGCTTCCAGAGTCGCTGCTTCAGCCAGGTGGGCCTTTTCTTCCCTGGGCTTCCTGAGGCTACTTGGACCTCCTTCAGGACTTCTTATCAGGACCTCAAGAGCCTCTCTTTCATCCGTCCTCTAACTATCTCCATAGCATCAGAAGTCTGTGGGCATTTCCCTGCCATTCTGCCAGCAGCAAAATGGACAAGATCCTTCTGGGCTTCAAAGCCAAACCACACAGCTGAGTTCTCAATGGAGGCCCTGGGTATCACTCAGGAGCGAGGAAAGCCAAACCTGAAGGAAGCACGATGGGCCCTCTAGTTCTTCATGGCCACGTGCAGAGCAGGAGCTTGGCGCCGTGCCGGACGGCCTTGCAGAACCCCTGTGCGCACAGCCTCTGGCAGCTGTCGGAGATGATCCAGAAGCCCTCCCCGGCAGGTCTCACCCTGGGCTTGGCTGATGTGGCCTTCTGCCTCTGTTACAGAACATCTTTCATTTTACCTGATGTTGTAGCCACTTACTTATTCAACACTCCCCACACCACCGCGGTATCCTGTATGGCAGGGGTCGAGGCTCATTCACCTCCCCCTCTGTTTTGGGGCCCGGCACTGGGCATTCTGTGCAGAGAACGTACTTGACCAATGTCTGCCAAGCTGATTTCATGTACCAAAGGAAACAATCACCTGGGGACAAGCCATATGGGATGTATGAACACTGACACCCAGGACTGTTCCCCAAAGACCAAGAAAATAAAGTAAAACAGTGGGTAAAATGTTAAACACATTCACATTCAAACGATAGCAAAAAAAATTACAACATTCCTTGTCCTCATTAATTTTAGATCCAAATTTTGGGACTCGCACGTAAATTCAGTCATTACTAATCTGAGATGAGCCTAATTCTGTGGAACTGAGTGGATACTGGGCCAAAAACTACCCTCATTTGTTGATCAAACGTGTGCCCACCAGGGCTGTGGAAATCCAGCAGACTCCAGAGAGCTGCCTGATTGAGTGTCCGACTCTGACATCCTTTAGAAGAAAGATTCACCTCCCGGGCGACTCCTCTCAATCATGTACACACCGTATCAGCAAATATCTATGAGTCCACCTGCCAGGCACTCTGGACAGCAAGGGTGACGCAGTGTGTGCAACAGACACGATCCCCGCACAGACAATACACTGATTGAATAGTCACACAAATGAGCACAATGCGGAACTTCGGTACAAGGAGAGCACTCCTTGCTTCTCTCCTGGGCTAGGGGCACGGCTAGCCCCTGTGTGGGAGCAGCCGGGCTGTTGGTGTGCTAAGGCAAGTGGCCTTCCTCACCAAATCGGAGCTTCAGGGCAATCCTGTACAGCCTTCACCTCGAAGACAAGCAGCCTGCCCCACCTGGGGCCGCAGGCCTAAAGCACATGCCAGCGGGCAGGACCCGAGGCCCCTCCATCGGACAGAGGCCCGAGCTTACAATGCACGCGTGCGGTATCCCGGGCGATCATCACGAGGGCCCCGTAAAGGCTGTAGCAGTGCTGTCATGCTGTGGAGCAGGAAGACGATGCCCCGAAAAGGTGCACAACTTCCCACTAGGCGAGCGAATGGTGTGGCTGGCAGGGGCTGCCGCAGAGCCCGTCCGGCTCACTCCACTCCCACAGGAAGACACTACGCCTTCCCTGAGACTCTACACCGGCGCGTCTGAAAAACCAGCCTCAGTGGCAGGGATCAAATCACAAGAGGCACATGCCCCCACACGCCACTGGTTTGGTTAGCCTGTGAGTCCGGGGCCAGCCACCTCGTGTGCAGGCCATGCTGGTCACCACCCACCCTCGGCGACGTGTGTCCCTGGGCCTGTTTCTGATTGCTGGGATGTTCAACTCATCTATCCTCTCCCGTCCTCTCCATCTTCCATTCCATGTCCTTGCCTTCACAACAGATAACAGCAGCTGCCCTGCCTCCCTCACAAGACGATTCTAGAATTAAATGAGATAACCTGTACAAATACATAGTTTGGGAACATTTGGATTCATCATCCGAGCCTCAGCAATAGACTCCAAACCTGACCCAACTTGACGCAGGTTAGGTGGACAATGCACTGAAAATAGTGTGCAACTAGTCAGAAATTTCTCGAAACTCTAACTTTAAATAGCCTGCTTTACATAAGGGATACAAACTCTTAAAGAAGATGAAGTAAACTCCAAGTCTGAGGGAGGCTGTCAATTGAAACTACTGTGAACAAGCCTGCTAAATAAATCAAGGAACAGCCCACTTCTCTTACATTGTTTCAAATGGTTTTAAAAGCTCCCAGCTTGAAAGCCAATAAACGGAAGTAAAGAACAACTGGAGCAAGTCTTCCTGGAAACAAAAATCAGAGGCCAACTGGCAGCTCCTTCTACAGCTGGCAAGACCTCAGTCACAGGAAGCTTCTACCCCTCCCACATGTAGTGACACCTATCGCTTTGCCCACATGTGGACAAAGGCCCAGAGCGCTGAGAAAAGGAAAGGCAAACGGAGGCTTTCCTGAATTCATTCAAACAAGAGGAGACTGAGACAGAGAGAAACACAGGGGCCAGAGTCACAGCAGTGCTTTAGAAGGTGGAGGATCGGGGCGCCTGGGTGGCTCAGTCGGTTAAGCCTTTGGCTCAGGTCATGATCCCAGGGTCTTGGGATCGAGTCCACATTGGGCTCCCTGCTCAGCGGGGAGTCTTTTTCTCCCTCTCCCACTGCCCCTCCTTGTGATCTCTCTCTCTCATAAATAAAATCTTAAAAAAAAAGGTGGAGGATTAGTGTGAAAAGTGCTAACCTGCTCCTCGGCCACTCAGGACTTTACAAGCTAATCTAGATTGTCATATTTTAAGACACAGTGCTGAAACACAACTATTTTAAGCAGGAAACGTGTCAGAGATGAAACGTGGAAAGGCCGTGACTAACCCGTGTGGGCCCAAGTGCAGAGCTGCTGTGTGGAGCCCGGAGCCGTGCCGTCTACACTTGGAGCACGAGTGTCTGACTCACCAGGTGCGGATGGCCCTTTGGGCCAAGCTCCTGTTCTACTCCTCAATCCCTGCTCAGTTCGTGCCTGGGACATGACTAGCCCCCTTGAATTCCTAAAACCACGGTAGCTAGTTTTGAAGTAACAAGACCAAAACAGAGCTCTATACTCAAGTATTCTGAAACGCTAGTTCTGAGGAAGGTGATATTGATTTATGGCTTTGTCTTCGGGATATAAAAATATCTGTTGACTCCTTACTCTGTAACAAGTGTTTTACTTACATTTTATCTCTAATCAGCACAATCAGCTTCAAGAGCAAAATTAATCCCATTTTACAGATGAGGAAAAACCGAGACTGAGCAAGGTTAAGTCACAAGTCCAAGGTCACACAGCGGAAGTGGTAGTGCCAGGATATCCCCTTGGGGACCTCCAGAGCCTGTGCGCTTTAGCAAGAGCACATCCCACGCAGGCCACAGATTAGAATTTTGTGGGTCATCACACCGCTTTAAACTAAGAAACGAATTGAAGATTATGTAAATGACTCCTTTGCTCTGGCTGCTAGGCTTTAGTGAGAATACCAATCAATTATAATTAAAACTAGAGACTACTTTTTCCCTTCCCCCCCAGTTGAAAATGGTCTTTCAGGGCTCCTGGGTGGCTCAGTCGTTAAGCATCTGCCTTCAGCTCAGGTCATGATCCCAGGGTCCTGGGATCGAGCCCCACATCGGGCTCCCTGCTCTGCAGGGGGTCTGCTTCTCCCTCTCTCACTGCCCCTGCTTGTGTTCCCTCTCTCACTGTCTCTCTCTGTTGAAAAAGAAATAAAATCTTAAAAAAAAAAAAATGATCTTGCAGCTGCTGCCGCTGCGCCTGAGGAAAGGGAGGTGTGCTCGGCACGCGCAGTGGCCGCCCTACCGTCAACACTCTGCACTTCCTACGTGACGTTGGCAGCTCTGGCCCTCGGAGGCCCCACAGCCGCTGGCACTCACGTACTCGCATGTCCCCGCTCGTCAATTTCCTCCTGGAGGCTCAGCACGCTGGTGAGGTTGATGACCCTCCGCCGAGGGGTACACGCTGCTGTCATTTCCTTTCGGGAATCATCTTCCACCATTTCCACATCAGAGCTTTCCCGAGGCCTCTTTCTGCAACGAAGATTAAGGAGCCGGCAGATCATGACTATCCTTGAAAATGGTTTGTTTTTTTATAAGTCAGCCAAATTTTGCGTACTGCATTTTGGAAAAGGGAGCAGCTTCTCATGCTGGCTCTGCACGTCTGGGGCGGGGTCCTCGGTCTGTTCTCCTGCACCCGGCCTATCGGATGACCCTGAGCCCTCCGCAGGCAGCCCACGCGCACAGCAGGACGCTGGAGTCACTCGCCCTGTGCAGCTGCAGGGCCCTGCGCGTGCGTGCCCACCCTGCCCCCACCTTGCTTGTTCAGTCCTCCGTCAGACACTGTTACAGCACCAGCTCCACGCAGTGCTGGCCCTCAGCATGCTTACTTTCTAGCTGGGGAGTCAGCCACAGAAAAAGGATCATTTGAAGTAGCAGAAAATGCTAAGAAAAATAAACAAGGTAACAGGATGATGGGGCAGTGTGAGGGCCTCTGGCAAGAGGTGACGCGTGAGTGCAGGCCTGAGCAGCAAGAAGGCAGACTTCCTAGGCCCGGAGCACGGGGAGAATGGGCGTGGGGGAGCTCAGGCAGTTCAGGCCAGCCATGTGGCCGAGCACTCCGCGGGGGAGGGAAAGCGGGGGGTTGGGGGGGAGCAGGGCAGGTGCACCCAAGTGCGGGGGAAGCGTGGGTTTTCAGCTGAGGAGTGATCCAGTCTCATTTCTGGTTTCAGAGATTTCTTTGGACTGCTGTGTGGTAAAGAGCTGGTGGTGTTAGTTCCCCAGTGACAGACACGTAACCCTGCCCTGCATGACACGAGATAGTGTACGTAAAGTACCCAGCACAGAGTGGGCTCCCCACAGGTGGCAGCCCCCTTGATGATTCCCTGGAGACATCCCTACACACCGTATTGCTAGATGGACTTGGCAATGAGAAACTGGAGCCAAGTAACCCGTCCAAACCCCAATGGCCACTCAGCGCTGGGCCGATGCGCAGGCCTGGGCGGGCGCCTTCACCCTGAGCCCAGGCGCGTCCCCGAGCCCGCTGTGGAGGGAGCGTCCCGGGAAGGCAGGGCAATGACAGCTGCTCTTCCGTCCGCCCTTCTCCCGCTCTCACCACCAGCCCCCGCGGCTTCAGGGGCTTCATTCATAATTTGAACTGAGAAAATGTGTTTTTCCTGAGAGGAGTGGAAGCAGCTTTGAGGGCGATGAAGGAGAATCCTCTGGATATTTTAGGGTTCTCTGGCCACCTCTGCTACTGAGGCGTTATCAAAACCCGTACTAAAAATAAAAGAGACATCTTATTTTTTTTTTCTGATGTGTGTTTAACTCATGCTTGGAACCACAGACATTTAAGATATCTCAAAGGCCACTGAGTGGGGGACTCTCAAGCCATGGTCAAAGGCGGAGAGCGGACAAGGCAGAGCACTGTCCCATTGGAGGCAGAGGGCAGGTCAGGCAGAGAGAAGCGGCAGGTGCTTCATGCCGAGTCAAGACAGAGGCAGTTTCAGTTAAGAACAGCAGAGGCAGGCTGCTCTCCATCCAAAGTCCATACCTGGGGTTGCCCGGGCTGGAAGGGGACCCTCTCTTCTCTGCCGTTTCCGAAGTCCCCTCTCTCGCATCTCCCTCCGTGCCCTGATTTCTGGCAGCCACTTGAGCAGGCTCTGGGAGTTCAAGCATTTCCTCATCCTGCTGCCCAGCCCTGCCACTGGAAGCATCAGTCCTGTCTTCTGGGACAACGTCCTGAGGCTGAATGGACAGGGCCTTGCTTACAGGCTGCAGAAAGGCATCGAGCTTCTGTTCCCGTGAATCTGTGCGGACCATCTGGTGGGCATAGACCTTGTCGCCACTTCCAGAAGTAGATGAGGGGGTCACACCCATTGTGGATTTAACCACCTCCCCAGAAGGGCCAGCAAGACCTGGTAGTAAAGTCTATGTCAAAAAAGAAGGTAGTACATGGTTAAAAAAAATTTTTTTTAAATAAATAAGATTCCTAGCCACTGTGGTTTTTCAAGCTCAATGGCATTTATGTAATATATGATTCACTTTATGTTTTTGCTGAACCCTTTCTATATTCTGTCCTATATGTTTCAATAGAGTAGAATCCATATGGAAAAAAAAGAAGGCAGTGGGACGATTCAGAATATGAAATAAATAAGTTCAGGTCCCAGGGGGCGACTCTTGATCTTGGGGTTAAGTTTGAGCCCCAGACTGGGTGTAGAGATTAGTTTAAAAAGTAAAATCTTTAAATAAAAAAAAAAGAAGTCCAGATCCCAAAGTGGAGCAGTACTGGAGAAAGAAGCAAGAACCAAGTATAATCATCATTACAGAAGTATTAATATAGAAGCAATTCTGTAAAAGATACACCAGTAAAAATACAAAAATTCAGAAAAATCCTTATAATTTTAAAATTGGTTTGAAATGGGGAATATTAGTGTAAAGTCCTTATATTTTTGTCTGTTTTCTTTTTTTTTTTGCTTCCATAAGAGGATTTCATTTTTTAATTGTAGTAATATATACATAAAATTTATCATTTAACCATGAAGTGTACAGCTCTGTGGCATTAAGTACATCACATCATTGTGCAACCATCACCACTATCTATCTCTAGAACTTTTTCAACGTCCCAAACTGAAACTTTGTACCCATGGAACAATAACTCACCATTCTCCCCTCCCCACTAGCTCCTGGCAGCCACTAGTTTGTCTATTTTTAGATATACAATTTCTTAGCTCTGTCCACTGGGAAGGCCTAAAGCAATGACCACCCAGCAGCAATAAGGACCCCCTGATCCCAGATTATAGTCTCTAAATACCATCCCCACTAAAATAAACCAGAGTTCCTGAGAGAAATGGCCAATTCCAGGGCTTGGGCTTGGAAAGTACAGAGTGAGCCTACAATATCTTCTCTTGAGAAACAAGAAACCATCAAAGACCAATGGAATTGGGTCAAAATGACAAGAGCACCAGTTTGAAGGGGTTTTTGTTGGTCTAAGATGAGGTAATTTGAGGATCCAAAAGAAAAATGACTATAATTAACTAAATTATATTGCTTTGTTAACACTTATGATAAAATATTAAGAGAAAAAGAAAAAGATGGTAAGGGAGAGGGAAAGAGAGAGGACAAAGTCATTAAACATCACTGGAGATCACTAGGACATGAACTCATCCCTTTGCACATGGATAATTAAAGGGACAGAACTCAGCATTTACCCTTATCTTCTAGTGTGAACTGTATTTCAGGATAACCAAAAAGTTCTAAAGTTATTGTACACAGAAGAATTACAATTAATTGAGAGAAAGTGATAAAATCAGAAAATCATAATCTTGCAATCCTAGTGAAATAACTGATTCAAGTAATAGTCATCAATGAGTGGTGAAACCATTAAGCTAAATATTCCTGGGGAACTTGACAATGAAGGAAACAGGCTGTCACCAGCTGAACCCACAGATGAGTCTTATCACCAAAATGACATAACAAGTCAGTATGCGCCTCCTGCTGGGGCGTGACAGAAAGTACATGGCATCATCTATCAAAAATTCTCACACAGAAATCTCATTCACAAATCTGAATGTAATCATGCCAGTTTATAGGAATTCCCAGGTTACAGGAAATGTGGAGGATTAGAACAAGTTAAATGACACTAAGAAGAAGCAATCAGCCAAACAGAAATGTGCATTATTCTACAAGAAGCCTTTAGAATAAGCCAGTAAGAACAACAAAAAAGTGTACAGGGACTTTTCTGGTTTCAAAGAGACTTAAAAGAGATTTAAAAGACAACAATTATAGTGAGTAGAACTTAACTGAATATGTATTTCAATGAAGCTACTTTATAAAAGGATTTTTGGACAGTTGGGACATTTGAATATGGACTAGATATTAAATGATATTACTATTAATTTTGTTATGTATAAAAAAGGACATTCTGATTATATAAGGAAAAAATATTTTTGAAACGCATAATAAAATACTAGGGAAAAAAGTAAATGCCTGAAATGCGCTTTAAAATATTCTTTTCCTGGGCGCCTGGGTGGCTCAGTCATTGAGCGTCTGCCTTCGGCTCGGGTCATGATCCCAGGGTCCTGGGATCGAGTCCCACATCGGGCTCCCTGCTCAGCGGGAAGCCTGCTTCTCCCTCTCCCACTCCCCCGCTTGTGTTCCTGTTCTCGCTGTCTCTCTCTGTCATATAAATAAATAAAATCTTAAAAAAAAAAAAAAATTTCTTTTCCCTTGGGGCACCTGGGTGGCATAGTCGGTTAAGCGTCTGACTCTTGGTTTCAGCTCAGGTCATGATCTCAGGGTTGTGAGACTGATCCCCACACTGGGCTCCGTGCTCAGTGCAGAGTCTGCTTGAGGTTCTGTCTCCCTCTCCCTGCTCCTCCCATTTGTGCACTCTCTCTCTCTAAAATAAATAATCTTTAAAAAAAAATGTTCCACATCACTTGCCATCAGGGAAATACAAATCAAAACCACAATGAGATGCCACTTCACACCAGTCAGAATGGCTAAAATTAACAAGACAGGGAACGACAGATGTTGGCGAGGATGTGGAGAAACGGGAACCCTCCCACACTGTGGGTGGGAATGCAAGCTGGTGCAGCCACTCTGGAAAACAGTATGGAGGTTCCTCAAAAAATTAAAAATAGAGCTACCCTACGACCCAGCAATTGCACTACTGGGTATTTACCCCAAAGATATAGATGTAGTGAAAAGAAGGGGCACATGCACCCCAATGTTCATAGCAGCAATGTCCACAATAGCCAAACTGTGGAAGGAGCCGAGATGCCCTTCAACAGATGAATGGATAAAGAAGATGTGGTTCATATACACAATGGAATATTACTCAGCCATCAGAAAGGGTGAATAGCCACCATTTACATCGACATGGATGGAACTGGAGATTATGCTAAGTGAAATAAATCCATCAGAGAAACACAATTATCACATGGTTTCACTCATATGTGGAATATAAGGAATAGTGCAGAGGACCATAGGGAAAGGAAGGGAAAACTGAACGGGAAGAAATCAGAGAGGGAGACAAACCATGAGAGCCTCTTGACTCCGGAAAACAAACTGAGGGTTTCGGAAAGGGAGGTGGGTGGGGGAATGGAGTAAGTGGGTGATGGGCATTAAGGAGGGCAGGTGTTGTGATGAGCACTGGGTGTTATGCGCAACTAATGAATCATTGAACACTACATCAAAAACTAATGATGCATTATATGTTGGATAATTGAATTTAAATTAAAAAAAAAATTAAACAAAAACAAAAAACCACCACTCTTTCTCCACCCCCAAGTTAGAAAGGGAAAGAGAAAACATTTATGGCAAAATGCTGATGGCTGTTGAAGCCGGGTGACAGGTACATGGATTATTTGTATAATATCTACTTCCATGTGTACTTAGAAATATTCAATAATAAGCTAAATAACAAAAAGTTAAATAAAGTAGCAAATGTGCTCAAAAAGGAAAAACCTCCCTTCATGGACAATATAAAACCCTTCCAGAGTAAACAGGCAAATAAAGTGATATATAATTGACCCTTGAACAAAGCAGATTTGAACACCATGGGTCCACACTTGTATGCAGAATTTTAATAATACAGTGCTGTAAATGTATTTTCTTTTCCTTATGATTTTCTTAGGAACAGTTTTTTTCTAGATTACTTTACTATAAAAATACAGTATATAACACATATACAAAACATGTGTTAGTCGACTGTTTATGTTACCCGTAAGGCTTCTGATCAACAGTAGGCTAATAGGAGTTAAAGTTTTGGAGAGTCAGATTTTTGACTGCCCACGGGATCGGTGCCCCAACCCCTGCGCTGTGTAAGGGTCAAATGTATTTGCTTCATTTGCCTTGCAATAGCCACAGAAGCAGAAATTAACAGAACTACTTTGCAGATAGTAATTTTAAGGTCCAGAAGAGTGAAACACCTTGTCCAACAGGATAGAGTTGCCACAAACCCCAAGAGCCCCCAGGCTTCCTGATTTCCATACCAAATGGTTTCCCTGCAAACCAGGGCTTGTGCTGTAGGCCCTGGGCAGTGTTGTGCAAGACACAGCTGGGGAGTGGGAGAGAAGGTATTCTGACGTGCCCAGAGGAGTGGCGACAGCTCTGAGTCTGGACCCCACCACCCAGAGCAACGACCCCAGGCTTGTACCACAGCACCGACAGAGGCAGGCCATCTGATCCAGAAATCCACTCTCCTGAAGACACCCGGGTCAGGACTATGCAGAATTCTATGGGAAAATACAATGTAAGCTAACTAAATGAAACTGACTTGTGCAAAATAAGACAAGGAGGAAGACGAGAAGTTCCTTCCCCAGTGCAGCCATAGACACACTCCAGGACCTCTGGCAAATCTTTCTTTTCGATCTCAGCTAGGACAGAGCAAGACCACCACTCTGGCCCAGACAATGTGCTCCTTACTTTCACCTCATACTTTGAGGCTGTCTTCCCGCTCCCCCGCAGCCACACCTTTTCCAGGTCCTGGCAATTCCAGATCTTCAACCATCTGTGAGTGGAGCTACCTCCTCTGCCCAGACCCTCACTGCTTCTCCCAAATAGCTGCGGGCCTCCATCGTGCCCCTCTGCTGTCCTTTCCCCACTCAACCACAGGATTCTTCCTAAAAGTTTTATATCTCAACCACCGGCACTGCAAGGATTTGTGTGGCACCAGGGGCCCAGCAAAACTAACAGGAGACTGAGCGCTGGTTCCCAGGCAGAACTGCCTTCTGCCCACCTGCCACACACACCTCTCTGGTGGCATCAGCAGCGACCCTTGCGGACTCACCACCCAAGCCTCGGCCTGGGCTCCAGGGGTGGTAGGGCTGCCCCCATGGCATCTATTCTCACCGCTTCGTGCCCACGGCGCCTCCCAGCAAGGGGCTTTCCGTGAAGGTTCCTATGGGAAGCATTCACTGGCTTGGGAACTTAAAAAG